CCTTAAATCTTGTGGAACAGGCCTTATATCCATTCAGAAAGTGGTTGGTTACCCCCATAACATTCATGCCACTATTATACCAGTGGGCACATCTCCCAGGCCAGCACTGTAGCTCTCTAGGTTCACAGATACATAAAATTGATGATTACTTGTCATTTGACATTCTTTAATGGAGTCACAGTTATGCCTTGCATTGGCCAACCCTAGGCCAAAAAAGGAAACTTTTCAATTTCCTGCCCCCCTTTTTGGCCCTGTAACTACCCCAGTCTGTAAGCACATGGTGAGCTCTGGTTCTTATAGAGCCCCTCTGCGGGTGTTTTTTCCTTAATAAAAGCCTGCAGTGTCATTGAGTTGCTCATTCCCTTGTCTGTATTTCCTTCTTGCTCATCTTACATTCCGCACTGGTATAGGGAGTTGGGATGGGGGCTCTCCAGCAGAGTTCCCCTCTGCTCCTCTTTCCCTCTCCCTCCCACCCCCGTTCCTTGTCCCCCTTCTTCCTTGAGCAATGGGGACCATCTCCATTGCTTTTCAGCATAACCACTGCTGGCTGATTTCACATTGGCTGAGTTTTGATTTTTTTTTTCCCCTTCTCTGGAAACTTTTCTTCTGACCCTCTGCCAGGTGGACCTCTCAGAAACCCCAACCATGGGTGGAGTTTTCCCTGGACATTACTGTCAATCTCCCTCAAGAGAACCAGCATAGATGTCCTTCCTCCTCTTGAGGGGCCTTCTTACTAAATAGCCACTGGGTCAGGGGACACCCCTTACTTTTGGCCTGCGTTCTGTCTGGAAAAGCCCCTTTTCTCACTGCCAAATGGCCCTGTGTCAGCAATCTCTAGAAAAGAATCCATTAGGTCAATGTCTCTGTTCTACTGTAACTTGGCATGGCTGAGTTACCCCTTCAACAGTGGCCAGAGTTGGCAAGAGGGTGGCATGTTTGATGTCCAAATTCAAAGAGAGCTTGATCTTTCCTCCAGCACAATGGAAGTGGTCCTACGCTTCTTCTGTTCAAGCCTTTAGCTCTGCTCTTCTCATCCTGCCCCACTTTGGAGCTTCTCTTTCTCCATAAGAATCCTCCCAGTCCCAGTCGTATGCTGCTTTCCAAACCGTTACTAAAAATCTACTCCTTCAGAGAAACCTCCTTCTCCAGCTGCTGGAGAGCACTTGCTGCTTAGTGCTTGTTCCTCCCTGTCCTTGTTGGATAGGAAAGTTCCAGCACTCTCCAGCTGACTGGAGAACAACTTCTGTCTCTCCCTGCTTCCCCCAGCCAAACTCTCGGCTCTGATGAAAAGAAGACAGCTTCCGCCTCTCCAGAATGATCATTCAGGCTCCTTCTTTGCCTTCGGACCCCCTCCTCCACTCTTATACTCGTGGGCTCATGACCACTAAGCTTCTCCCCACTGACACACCTTCCTATGTCTCTCTCCGTTTAACCCTCTTTGTGGGTGCTGCACAAGGTTACTAGCCGCTGCTGCTCCCACCAAGCCTGCCTCTACCCACAAGTGCTGAGCCCCTCCAGTGTAGTGAGTCTACTTCTACACCCTCATTGCTGACCTGTGGCTAATGTAAAACTAAATTTTACTCCCCACAGCAGTCAGACTAGGGTGCAGTCTCTTGTTCCTTGGAGCCCATCCCTACCTGACTTATCTTTTGAGTTACATTTTTTCCTGCAGTATGGGGGCACAGGGATCTCGGAGCGCCAGCTGCTGGGCGTGGCGCCGGTCTCCTGCGCTGGGGTGCGGCGAGTCCCGCACCGTGTTGCTGTTTGGGTCCCTGGCTCTCCGCGTTGCTGACGTGATGTGGAATTTCCCATTATAAAGGGAAGATGTTTTTGCAGCAGTCTGACACTAGGGGGTTGGAACGCTCTTATAAGTTACAAGCCTTAGACTGCAGA